ACTGTGTCGGAGGAGCGTCCCAAAACAATTCATGTTGCAAAAGTATAATTATTATAATATTATATTATTATTGGATGAATAAGAGGAATAAAACAGTTTTTAAAACATTCAGTTTCTCAGCTCTTTTTGTTCTGAGTTTACCTTTTGTCTCTTTAATTACTTCCTGGGTTACAGGAAGGGCTTGATAGCAGCGGTGAGCTGCGGCTGCGCACTGACAGAGATGTGAGGTGCAGTGAAAAGCAGCCAAGCTTTAGGAATAATGGCTGAACAGGGACGTCATGTGTCAACAGTGTGGGAGGATGACCACCTGTGAGTTGCCACCTGTTTGTCATATTTCTGGTTTTCCTGATGGCCAGCAGGATCACGTGCTGTGTGCAACTGCAGGTTCTGCTTCAGGTAAGCAGATGAACAATAAGCTGGTCATGTAGCAGCTCCTGGTATTCTCTGCTTTGTGTTGGAACCTGAAGCTGATTGAATCATTTGGGGGCTAACACGACAGGATCACAATCAAAACTCATTTTTTGCGTTTTTCAAATTTGGAATTTAAAACGAGGGGATTCATTTTTTGTGCATTCTTTGAACCGATTTAAACATTTAGGTGGTTTGCTTATTATTCTGGAAACAATTCAAATAAAAGTGAACCAAACAGACCTTCTCTCTGATGCTATAAACTGTTGAGGGTGATACGACAGAGAAACAGACGAGGAAGATGTCAGTGTCGGGGTAGCTGAGGGGTCGCAGTCTGTCATAATCATCGTGGCCTGCAGGGGGAGACACAAAACGAGTCTGAGTAGCAAAAAATAGTGCGAACAAATGGAGGCTGAAAAATGCCTCCCAAGTGAGGACGTTCCCATAGATTCTACATGCTAAGATGTCCAACCTCACAACAGACACAAACATCCTCCTGAGGCTGCATTTGTAGGCCGATTACGTCACAGCGACGCAACGAAAGCCGTCCAAATTCGTAGACTTCTCCAAACGCAGCCGACAAATGCGTTCTCCTTTT